ATTAGTTGTAGTTTGCTCTGTTTTAACAAATAATAGATAATACATATTTAGGATTCGTTTCCACTCTCCTCCTCTTGAATATAGTCAAGTGCTCAGCTTCAGAGTTGAAATCCGGTGCATTCCCTATATCATGTTGTAAAATAGATAGTTCTAGGAATAAACAAATAAATAGACTGTAATATTGTGGAATCAGTCCCGGTTAAACTGTCTAAAACATTAGCTTTTCTTTACGAAAGTTGAATTGAACTAATGACCTACTACTATTGTTTTTTGTATCAGCACGCCTTTGAATCCCTCTCTTAAACTGCTTTATTCCATTACAAGCAGTCCCCGTTAAAGTTAATCATGTCACTGTGCCCTGCATTGTCCTCATCTATAGTGTTAGTCCTTTTTATACGGTAATATTATTCACTCTGCGACATAAGATAATACCTCGAGCATGAATGTTGTTGATTCCTGGGCCTTTCAGTTCAGTCCCTTCATCGCTGAGCAACGAGATTCCACCTGACGTTATATGGAAAGGGAAGGCCAGAGGAGGGGACATAGGAGATTTTGCAACCTTTATGATTCTCTCACCTGCAAAAAACGTGAAAACCAAACACACATGAATGAATCATTCTTTGCTAGTTACTATGACCTTAAAAATGCTTTAACGTACCTGACTTGGCTTCAAGAACCAACCGGATTGTTACAGCATGAGCCCAGTTGATTCCTAAAGCAGCAACAAGGTGAGAATCATACGTCCTTGTGTGTTCTTGACATCCATCCTTCAACTTAGCTGTTTTACAGAGAGAATAAATGATTGTGGTAGAGTGAGCATTGATGAAGTTAACACAAGAGTAAAAAAGATAACTTCAGTTTCTGATTACTGTTTTACCTTGGAAAGAATACTGACTAGTTTCGTCTCGGTTTTGAGATCTAACTTGATTAGTCACCACTATAGGAATCCGTGCAAATTCAGCAAGCGATCTGTAAGGGAATCAATATCAATGTTAAAGATGAATGGTATGTTTCAAAGCTTTGTAGTGGCTCAAGACTACAACTCATACTTTAAGAAAGAAATATGCCAACCCAACTGATGCTGCTGTCTCTGAGCTCCAGGGTTGTTTTCTCTGAAAATCAATTCTTTATTTAGTCAAAAGAACAAAAACTTACTAAGGTCAGGAAGAAATAGAGATTAGACTAACCCAGAAAGAAGAGCTGTCATACTATCAATCACTAGCAGTTTCACTTGGTTTTGAAGAATCGATTCCTTGAGTTCTTGTATACTGCTGATTAGAAAGAGCAGCATGATTAATAGTAATGTCTACACTAACAAAACAATACGAAAAGTCTAACGCACCTATCAGTAAAGTCTGATAAAGATGTTGGCCGCAACACAAGTATTCTTCCTGCCATCTGCACTGCCAAAACTTATGTAAGCAACATCAGAAACATGAGATGACTTAAACCAAAAAAGGGAATACAACACAACACAACCTCTTGTGCCATTCCTTTAAGGTGAAACACTTCAGGGAAACTCTTCAATCCCATCTCTATCACCCTGATGTATACACACACACTCTTGAGAACTTCATGCACAAAAAAATGTCATGCAGGAAGAAGATAAAAAGAAAGAAAAAGTTTACCTTCTTGAACTAAACTTAGACTCAACGTCAATATATATCACACGACCATCTAAACCTCCATAAGCTTTAGGAAACGAAGCTGATAAAGCAAGTTTCATGCAAAACTACACACAACACACAAAAAGAGAAAAAACCTTTACCACATGCAAAAAAAACCACACTGAAGCAAAGCTAAAGATAGAAGAGAACCTGTGATTTACCAATACCAGGTGGGCCAACTAACTCAGTAACGACACCAAAAGGTATTCCACCACACAAGGCTGAGTCCAACCCTTTCAAATGGGTTGGAAGATGACCCGACAGATACTCGTTTTCTACCTTCTGCTCCAGTAAAGATTGAGCCTTTACAAAAAAAAAATTCAAAAGGTTTTTTAAGATTAAAAGGACGGTGAAAAAAAGCTTAGTTTCATGTTCAGAGCTTTGCTTACGGATAGGCATGGAGGAGAAGCAGCTTCACTGATGAGTTTAACAGCAGATTGTATCTCTTTGATTCCAATGTCTAGAAGCTCCATCAACTCAAACTCAGTCATAGACAATGCATCCTTTTAAAAAAAAAAAAGCAAATTGAAATAAAGGTTATAGTTTTAATCGATATATGATTATAAAGGTAAGACCTTTGCGGTGATGATGTTTCGCGCGGCGAAGATGTTTGAGATTCTCTTGTGAAGGTTCATTTCTCCGATGAGCTTGTTCGCCATCTTCTGTCTCTCCGGCGTCGGAATGATTTCTTTTTTTTTTCAGGTGGAGAGTAGAGAAGCCTCTTTACCAAATACATTTGGTCCTGAAAATAAAAAGCCTGGCCCATTTAGATATTTGGTTGTTTTTTTAACACAATATATATGGTATTTACATTAGAGAAATTAGGGCCAATAACCATAACAACACACAAAAGTTAAGAAATTTAGTTTCAGTAAAAGGAATAAGCTTTCAGAAGAATAGAAAGCTTCTTAGTGAAGTTGGAGGGAGCTATAAGAATAATTAACCGAAATAATTGTGGATCGTCACGTGGCATGGGATTCGTAAAACAGTGACGAAGCGAATTCACTATCAAGATCTCCTGCGAGACAGATTCACTACTAAAAATTATATTAATATTTTTTTTTTTTTGGAATCTGTGTGAACCTCTCCCCTCCCTCCTAGTTTCACTAATGGAGTGTTCTTAGAGCATCTCCAATGTAAAACATATTACTCCTCTCCTCCTAAACATCTCCCTAAGCACCCTTGGATAATCATGCTCTTAGTTGCTTATGTGAAGATGTTATATCTACACTCTACAGGTTACTCTATCTTTGGTACAAATTAGCAGACCCGGCCCAAAACATAGGCAAATGAAGCATTTGTTTAGGGCCCAAAAATTTTTGAAGCCTTTTTAGGTTTAAACTAAAAAACAAAATTTTATAAAGGGACAAGAGGTCATTCTTTGAATTTGAATTGGGTTTCCGGTAGGTATGGACCGGTCCTGCAAATTAGTTCAAGATTATGGTAAGTCATTAAGCTATATAAAAGTCTAAACATGGTAAATGGAAGGACAGTCCAATGTTTCATATTTTGTTTAGATATTGAATATTCATGTCTAGCGTGGTTACGTATGTGGTTAGAGCCTTTATTTCCATGGCATCCATCAAAGTTAAATGTAGTGTTTATCACTGATGATGACAAAAGAACCTGATACGTAAGTACTTATTACTATTTTATTATTTCAGTTGTTTGGAGATAAACACTCTTTTGACTAAAAGCCCAGTAATATCATTACATAAACATATTAAAATATTTAAAATACACTTTTTCTTTTAGATATGTCACTTGAAAAGGATCGTGTGATTTAATATTGGGACCAAAACAATTCAGTAAGGTCGGTGGATATGAAATTGGGATAGCTGTTATCCTACTTATCTTTATGGATTTTCCTAGTCTTTGAATCTGAATTTCCTGGAATGTATGTTACCCTAGTGGTGTTGCTGAAAATCGGATCGCATGATGTATGAAAATGTAAATGAGTTTTTTTTTTTTTACTTAACTTTAAAATAAAATCTGGTACATAACCCCTAATATAAACTAATATTTTTTCTTTTGTTTTAGTAGCTTACCATTAAAAACGTGAAACATGATGGAAGTTTCTTTAACATATATTACAAAAGTTCCATAATTTATCTGCTTTTTATTCTAAATTTGAGTGAGAATATTACTCATGCACTATTTGTCTATGATACACTACAGTTATTCTGGTGTTATATTTATCTGAATGTAAAATTTGGAATAACCCTTTTCCAAAAAAAAAAACTTTGGAATAACCCTAAAATTGACGTTGGTTCGAGAGCGATTATAATTACTAATCAGTATGTGATGAACTAACTTTTTTAGTTGATTTAGCAATGAAAAATGGCTGCACAGAATTAATAGTCACCCATGAAGAAATCCAAATGCATAATCATGTGCTAGACTGCAACAACGTAAACCGCAAGGTAAGATATCGACAAAAAATGATTAAAGAAACTAAGGAGAAAACAAAATTAATGTTCAAACACACAATGTCGTCACACTTAAACGAATACCATCTGATGCTCCACAAGTGTATTTTACCACCCAAGAAATGCAATAAAATAATTGAAACGTGTGGAAATTAATTAGTCTTACAAAATTTTAACGTTGGTTTGATAGGCAGAGAAAACGAAAGAAATCTTTCCCCCTAACAAAAGTCAACGTGGTAACTTGCTCAATACTTTCCTTGCTTCATATCTTATCTAGAAGCTGACTAGATTAAATGTATTAACATATACTCCAAAAAAAATTGTGCTAAAAAGCATATATACTACAATTATAACAGACTTTTCTTAAAAAGCTAATCTCTGTTTCGAAAACTCCTAAAACAAATATTTTTATAAGTAATAAACCTATGAAAAATTTCAAGTAAATGTTACCTTAGCAAGAGAGAAGTTTCAGTTAATATACACATATCAACTTATACTACTTATTCAGTTATTGCATTGCTGTAATGGGACTGTTTTTTGTCGGATATGGCGCGCTATACGTTAATTTTACTTTAGAATGTTTGTTTGTCAAATTTTATAGAAGCATCAAAGAGCTTTTATCTTCACCGTCTAGGCGAAATCTACCGCTTCTACGAAGATTATATCCAAAACTAACATCACACATTGTATTTCTTTTTAACTAGGTGATTTTCCCGTGCTCATGCACGGATATAAATATTAATAAAAATAAAATTTTATAAGAATTGATTGATATTTACGTTAACTTTTGAATCAATTTCTATGTATAATTTATATTAATAAATATTATATTATTCTAATTATACATATGACTTTGGATATGTTATTGTCGATTTAATTATTTTTTGTATCAATAGTCGGTTTGGTTATCAATTTGATATATTGGATAATATCTATTTTTCGAGTTCAGCTATAATGTTTTTTTCTAAATATAATAAAATTTTGTTTAATTTTCTTATTTTCATTTCGGTTGGTTTTTGTCTTAGATATGTAAATATACTATGGCTTAATTATGTATAACTTAATATATATTGTGCTTAAAATGAAATATATAATAAGCTAAAGTGTTTGATTCAAAATTACATAAATGAATATAATAACAATATTTTGAAGTCTCAGCATATATATAAATTTTACAAAAGAATTAAATTGTAATTGGTTAATATTTTCTTTTTTATTTTTAATATGCTTTGAATCAACCTCTAGTTTATATGTATAAAATTAAATATATCATTATTATTATTATTATAATAAATTTTATTTTCGTATTTTATTTGGATGTTTAATTTTGGATATAAATTAAATTAGTCGAGTCATTCATTTTGTGAGTATATTGAGTTAAATATATTTTTAAATTAAAATTTTCGCATAATTACTTTTTATTTTAGTTGAGTCAAATCAAATTAGTTTTAAACTTTTATGTATCGTTTAAATATACATGTATTTTCAGAATATTTATTTACTCTTTATTTTATTTAAGTCAAATCAAATTAGTTTTATTTATCGCTTAAATATACATGTGTTTTCATAATATTTATCGAATTATATGTCAATTTCTAAAAAATATTAGAATATAAGTGTCACTGATAAATTTTTGGATGTTCATGAACATATATATTTTTATTATTTTGAAAATATATTTTTATGTTATTTAAAAATATATATTAATGGGGGTATTAGTATTTTGTGAACTTTTATTTTTAATAAAGTCATATTATGTATATATTAATGGGGATATTACTATTTTGTGAACTTTACTTTTTTAATAAAGTCATATTATATACATAAAATTTCGTTTTTAAATTTTTAAAAAAATTATAGAAAAATTTCCTTTTTATTATATATGTTATTTGGAAAAAGATAAAAAAAAACTAAATAAAAAATTTAATAATAATCCTTAAATCTAACAATTCATTAAGGGTATCTATGAAATCAACCATCGCGAGAGTTAACGTGAACGCGACACGTAGGAAACTGACTTCTCAAATAATATTATAGAGATCTTCACTTAAAAGTTATAAGAACAAGTATTTTGGTTGATGATTTACTTTCAACTTAACACAATCTTTAGACAAAAAGAACGAGAACAATAAACTTAATGTTGAATCATTCGTTTGAGATCAAACTATACCATTAACGTCATTAGAGGTTAAGCGTAAGTTTCTTCTAACGCCAGTTTGGACTTTCAATGTTTATTTACTAACTTTTGATTTAATTATTTATATGGTCAGCTTTCAAAATACAAACTATTTGGAATTTTTGTATGAAGATTCCCCTCTACAGTTTATGGCTTTATGCGAACAAGGAATGACTCAAATAACGATTTAAGTAAATAACAAACATATACTACAAATGAATTTGTTCGAATCATTTCCATTGTTATATACTATATTCATCCACAAATACTACATTCCCACAATTTTATACTATAACACCATTCCGCACATATATATGATTTAATCTATATTATAAGTGTATAGTAAAAGCTTTAACGTATGACACAAATCATGACAAAGTTGTAGTACAATGTACTGATATACAAATTAATATATAATATGAGACTCTCGAAATCATTGACCCACCAGCATTATGAATAACCACCAAACCATGCCACTTTTTGAATAAATTACATACAAAAGACCAATTCATAATCACTTTCTTATACTAATCAACTCAGGTTTTGGAGAAAAGCATCTTCACTCTTTCTTCTCCTATAAGTTCAACTCTTTCCCCCTCTTCCTATCCTTCTACTTTTCTTCTTCTTCTCTTCAGCAAAACTTTTTTTTTTTCCTCTGGTAGAAAGTTTTTGTTGTATTGCTTTAGCAAGAAGCAAGACTCCTCTTATTTGTACCTTTCTCTTTGTCATTCAAGAACCACTCCATTTTTCTTTCCTTCAATTTTCATTTCTCTATAGATTTGATTCCTTCATTCATTAAACTTCTGTTTGAAATTTTCTTGAATTCAATATTTAGTAATTTTTTGATTATTATTATTTTCCTTTTTTTTGTAGATTTGATTCCTTCACTCATTAAACTTCTGTTTGAAATTTTCTTGAATTCAGTATTTAGTAATTTTGATTATTATTTTTTTTTCATTTTTTTGTAGATTTGATTCTAACACACGTTCATGTTCTTTTCCTTGCAGAGAAACTCGTCCATGGAATCACCGGGAAGCAAATCCTCCACCGTCAAGAAGGCAGAGTTTCCGCCTCGCCGCGGAAGAGTGAAGAGAGAGATCTTTGGCGTTTTGGCCAGTTCCATCTTTTCCGCCGCCGTGTTAGCCGGTGGAGTGTTCGGCAAGAACGTCGGAGGTGGTGGCTCTTCTTCCTCCACCGCCACTCCTCCGAGCGGATACACCTCCGACCAGAACAGCGAAACCATTTGAAGCAAGAAAACATATAAAGATATAATTACGAAAGTGCCACTGGTTTATTTCACCACCATGGCATGATGACACACAATACTATGCGGCTCTGTTCGTTTTTGAAAACAGAACGCATCCTTTATCCATATTCGGTTCGGTTTATTATTTGTGGTTTGTTTTAATTTGGTGTGGTACGCCCGGTTTAACTTCTGTTTTTTCGTGGGTTAAACTTGGTGTACGTTTTAATTTGCTTTGTTAAACAAAACTATCTCCCTAATCTGTTGTTTCTACGTGTTTTTTTTAAGTGGAGTAATGATGTCCTCAGGGAGATATTTTGTTTTGGGTTTGCTTTGGTTTGGATCACCTTGTATAAGTTTGCTTTTTTTTTTAATGTCTGTTTGTATTCTAAATGCAATGTATATTTAAGCGTGTTTTGTATAATCTTTGCTTTTAAAATATAAAATATTATAAACCATGATGTTCAGAACAAATTTCAAATAGATCCATAAGAGCATCATTAGCAATAGAGTATTTCCTCCCCACCCCCCTCCTCCCTCCCTCCCTCCCAATTCTTATGTGTTTAACAACAATATAAATTAAATAGATAACTAAATAATAAGTAAAATAAATTTCACACATTAATATGTTAAAAGTTGTAAGCTCTTCACACATTCTGCAAACAGTCGTTTGCACTTCTCTTTACTTCTTCTTTTTTTTCTCTTTCATCATTTTGTAGTTTTTTAGATATTTTAAGGGAAAAAGTTTTTCAGTTACACGAATTTTACAATAATACGGTGGAAACCATCCAATGTATAAAAATGTGTCAAGAACTACACGAAGTATATGTTAATACATGCCCCATCTATGAAGTAAATGATATTATGGTGGCAACATCACAATCGGATTTAATTGTTCTTAAGCTAAGTTAATGGGGTCAATCCGTAATTTATGAAACTTAATAAACTTAATTGATTTTAATTATTAAAGTTAATAAAATTAATAAAATTAATAAACATAATATTTTTTAAAACTTAATAAAATTTAATATATTTTGTTAAACTTAATAAATTTATTAAACTTAATAAAATTATTAAACTTAATATACTTAACAAACTTAATAAACTTAATGATTTATTAAGTTTAATACATCTTATTAAGTTTAATAAATCTTATTAAATTTATAAAGTTTATTAAGTTTTTTAAAATTATTATGTTTAATAAGCTAGAATCCTAAAACTAATAAACAAAATAATTTAATAAATTTATTAAAAAAGGGTTGGGTGAAAGACCTACGGCTGCAGCTGCTCTAACTAGTAAACAAAAAAGTTACAAATATCAAAACAAAACTTATATTTAATAAATTTACTTCAAAAGTAGCATCGTTATGCAAAACAAAACTTATATTTAATAAATCTGTCCTTTTGTTTCTTTTGGTTTGTATTTGTTTAATTTTGTTGGTGAGTGGTGGTGATGGGACCTAGTTTGATGAGCTAGGTTAAAAGTGCGATGGCCAAGCCATCCCACCTGCACTTTTGCACTAATCTTCTACTAGTGTCTTTTCTTTTTCTCGATATGTATACTAATATGAAAAGAACATAAGACAAACTTTAATACAAGATAACCTGTTAAGGATATGCTAAATCATAGGTTTCGGGTCTTTTCAAATGACTCAAATTCAAGCTCACTAATATGTATTGCTATTGTATGTAAAGGTGCATCAGAATATGTTACTGAAAAATTATTTTGAAACGTGGATAAATCATATAAAAAATATGTGGAGAACATACTCCAAGACCAAAGTAAATCATTTATCATCTCTCTAAGTGATTATTTTGGAAAATTCAATAGTATAATTTAAGAAAAATATAACCATTTGCAATATGTAGAATAATTAAAGACCTATGGCAAATACATTTAGTTGTCTAGACCTCAAAAGGAAAAAAATCATAACAAAAATTAGTTGTTGAATAAACCCGCTTTATATGAAAACAAAAAGTTTAGAAGATGAAAACAAATGTAAGAATATATGCACAATATTCAAAGTCGGTAATGATATCTTATATATTAAAATATAACATGTAAATTATAAAATTATAACATACGGGTTTTAACAATTTATTAATATAACATGTAAATTATAAAATTATTGTATTTGAAATAATTATATAAATATTTAAGTATATGATTAAAATTAAAAATATACTATTAATATTCCAAAATAAATATTTATGTATATAAAAATGAAAATAAAAACTCACGCAAGGCTCAAAATCTAGTAATACTTAAAAAGGTTTTATTAAAACATATGACTTATGCTTTTAATTTAAGAAAAATCATAAAATTAGTTGTTGAGAAGTAAAAAAAAAATCATAACAAAAATTAGTTGTTGAAGAAACACGCGTGATATGAAAAAAAATTAGAAGATGAGAACAAATGTGAGAATATATGCGGGAATATTCCAAGTTCGTAAAGATAATCAACTAAAGAAGAACGTGCTATTAAAATTATTTTAATAAATTAATAAATCAAACTGAACCGAATTAAGAGAAACATATGTGAAAACCGAACCGAAATTTAACTTTTATTTAAGAATAAATCTTTTAAATATTTTTTCCTTGGGAAAAAAAATTGACTTTAACGGCAAACATGTGATAAGGGGGAAGGAAATCAAAAATGTGGTCGTCAAGCTTCTTAGCATCTCCTCACTTATCTTCTCCTCCCAGGCTTTCTCTGTTCTCATCTTCTTCTTCTGCACATCAAAAGGTTCAAACTATCCTCTGCTTTACCCAAAATCATCCATCCACCATTGGGATCAATGTCAGCAAGAGGCACTTGAACATCTCGATTCTCACGCTCTTGTTCAATGGTGGGTTCTTGCTGGATAAGGCAAAGTCCATCTCAGAATCAGAAGATCTTCTTCAAACATACACTGATTCAAAGGATGGCTTCACTCTTCTCGTACCCTCTTCCTGGATTAAGGTAATTCGAATTATGTATTCCAAAAATGCTGATAAGTAATAACATGTGGCTCATGAGCGAATGTTCTGTTAAAAGGTGGAGAAAGCCGGGGCCACTGTTCTGTTTGAAGAACCAGACAAACGAAGCAACAACATAGGAGTTGTCGTGAGTCCTGTCCGTATAAAGAGTCTTGAAGACTTTGGTTCTCCTCAGTTTGTAGCTGATAAGCTCATCAACGCAGAAAAACGAAAGGTAATTAAAATAAATAAATTAATTATAAGACGTCAAAAGAAATATTCTCAATAAAATCTTTGTTTGGTGTATTAATCAGGAAAGCACAAAGGAAGCAGAAGTTGTATCAGTAGGAGAAAGATCAGGACAAGGACAAGTGTATGAGTTTGAATACATAATTGATAGCACGAGAGGTGGAATCAAAAGGATTTTCTCGGCTGCTTTTGTGAGCTCTAAGAAGCTTTATCTATTGAACGTTGTTCATTCAGACAGTCCAGAGAATCCATTGGATTCTAGTACGAGATTGTTGTTGGAACAAGTTCTTCACTCCTTTGATGCCCTGCCTCTTACATAAGACATAACCATCTTTCTTATAAAGCCCATTGGGTGTTTATGGGCTCATTTTTAAATTTATATGTATCAATCTATTAAGCCCAATAAGATTGATATTTCATTACTCTTGCCTATTTATTTAGCTTCTGTGTCTTTTATTTCGTTTTTTTTCTTTTTGTAATAAAGTTTAACATTCTTTGTCGAATTGTATTTGTGTGTCTGCATTGGTTTCGTTTTAAACTTTTAAGCGTCATCCAATCATATGATCTGTAGATGTTGTTTATGATAAATTTCATGTTGAGATATAACGACACTTCACACTTGGTATATGTATTTGTTATGAGAGTTAACACAAACTAAACTCACAAACTACTCAACTGTTTATTAATTGTACTGAAAATTAAATGGCACATGTGACTATGTGAGAATTGGGTAAGTGTAATAAATTGATTACTTATAAGATAAAATTATCATACATTAACGCTCTATTTTTCTGTTTATCAACAGTAACTAGGGAGAGAGGAGACTAAATTTTTTACAGTGATGATGATGATATATACGATAGTAGTAATGGTATTAATCACCCTAAATAATTCACCAAGTATACATACAGAGGGTAAACTCTTCAATTTCACTATTAAAAATAATAAATTCCCAACAACTTTTTGTTTTTGCTTTTCACCGCTCATGTGGTCATCTTTAACTAAAAACATATAATGTTGATAAGATATGCTATATGCTATTATATCTATGATTAGTTAACACGCGACACGATCGTTCAAAAAATTGTTTGTGGGTTGTTAAGGTGGCACAAGTTTAAGCTTTGTAGAGAATCGTAGATGAGGTATTGTAGTTCTCAACAGATGCAAACATCTTCTCTTAATTTATGTATGTCCCAGCAAGTAGCAACATGAGTGATCAATAGACAGCTTAATCTTGTGTGAATGTGCTTCACAATTAAGTGACAGAACCGGTTTGGTAACGACATCATGAGTAGGAGCCTCGTGAGTCGTGACAACATGAGATCCAAAAAAAAAGATAAAATACACAAGCTAGTGTACAAAATGGTAAGTGTCATGAGTTTCATCTTTAAGTGAAAAATGGGTTTGCACGAAGATATTTAAGAATGCTGAATCGGTGCATGAGTTTGTGCATGAGCCCATTTTATCCCAACACCCCCATTAAGGGATGCTTATTTTTTATTTTATTCTTTTTATCTGATTAATTGATTTTTTCGTGGATCGCAATTTGTTGATGGGATCCGTAAATATTACAAATAATAGAAAAAACACGATGCTTATTTAGCAAGCAGAAATAGTGGTGTTTGGGTTTTTGGTGGGACCCTAGCCTCTAAGAGTACCATTATCCCATGTTTTTGGTGGGTTGCTTAGCCACTTTTTGCGTGTGGGCCCCACTAAAAACACAAGTAATCATCTCCTATATTGCTAAAATAAGCAACTGATTTGGGGTGTTGCTTGTACTGTTCGCGGGCCATATCAACACGTGGCGACCCGCGATTGGTTCTTCTTTATTTTTTTTAATTTTTTTTTTCAAATAATAAAAGAAAAAAATTTAAGCAACCCAAAATTGGGTTATGAGATAATGATGCTCTTAAGAGAGTGCTTAGTGCTTTTTGGCAGTAGGTCCCGCAAGCATCTCTTCCAAAAGTGCTTAATTAAACATCTCAAATGGTGAGTTGCTTGTACAGTTTGCGGGTCTTACTGATACGTGGCGACCCGTGAATGGTTCGATTTTTCTTTTCTTTTTCCTTTTTAAAAAAAAATACAAAAAAGAAGAAAAATACAAAAAATAAGCACCTCATATGAGGTGCTAGGATTGAGGATGCTCTCAGCACTCATTTCTTTTATAGGATAAAGATGGTCTCATTTTTTTTCCTTGAGAATTAATTGGTGCATGAGTTGATAAAGTATCTTCAGTTTTTTTTTTTTTTTTGGTAAAAAAGTATCTTCAGTTAGTTAACCCAACTGTTGGTAAACATAAAATATTGTTAAGAGTTTTTTTTACATCTATTTTTAGAGTTATTATGAGCTAAAAAAATTATTTGATACTGTTTAACAATGTTTTTTTTTGAGATGTATGGCCGAAGCTCAAATAATCAATAGAAAGGTGATTGACATTATCTTAATTTCTTTAATAAAATCTAAGACATGCTCTCACCTTCATCTGGTAAACAAATTTAGTTTAGAACATAAATCAAATCCAAGACTAACAAGTTTATGGTTTGCTTCAAACTATATTATTATTTAACTATTTCAGCCTAAAATTTCGTAAGCGATAATGGTAGCAGTAAATTTCACTTAAAATGCACAACTTAATTATCCCCTACTTGAGATAGAACATTTTGGTCATAAAACGGTAAATGATATTGTGGGAAAAATAGCCTATTTCAATCTGAATTTTATAAGTCGTGCATTTTCCTTCTTCAATTTTGTAGTAGTGTGTACTGAATTAAATAAAAACTTAAAATTATTACATGAACATTATTCATCATGCCTTTTCATTTCCGAACTTTATAATAATGCATATTCTACACTAAACTAACTACAAGTATAAATTTATTCCATGAACTCTCAAAATATAGTTTATATATAAACCACCAAATTTGTTAGTCATTCGTAAATTTATCAAAACGACGTCATTTTAGATCAATTTTACAAATTTAATTTTTTTTTTAAAATACTACACAAACTTACAAAATCATGCTTATATATATATATATAAATCATAAAATTACCCATCCGTTAATTTATCAAAACGATACTATTTTTATAAATTCTGTAAAATTAGTTTAACAATACTACGCAAACTCTTAAAATTCTGGTTCTATATATATTGATCATCAAAGATGTTAGTCATCTGTTAATTTATCAAAATGATGCCAATTAGGATAAATTCTATAAAACTAAAAAGTTATGGAATGTTCGAATTCTCACACTAATAGAAAAGTCTAAAGTGAATATTTACAATAATAATATTAGATTAAATTCATAAAATAATTATTTGTAAATTTAAATTTTAAACAGAAATCATTATAAATTTATTTGATAAATTTAAATGAATAAAAATTTGATAACATGTATTTTATTAAAAAAATATATAAGTTAATGTTTACACAATTTATACAAGAAAGTTACTTTGGTCTAGCAGTTATTATGTTTTTACTTATCCACTAGTGTGAAAGTTTTATTTTCCTAAAAAGGTAATTTTTAATTTTACAGAATTTATCCAAAATGATGTTGTTTTGATAAATTAACCGATGGGTAACATCTTTAATGATTAATATATATATATATATATATATATATAAGCATGATTTCGCAAGTTTATGTAGTATTTTTAAATTTTAAATTTTTAAATTTTATATAATTGATCTAAAATGACGTCGTTTTGATAGATTTACGAATGACTAACAAATTTGAAGGTTTATATAGAAGCACGATTTTGAGAGTTCATGAAGTATTTTTATACTTGTAATTAGTTTAGTATGGAATATGCACTACTATAAAGTTCGAGAATGAAAAGACACGATGAATTAAATTCATGTAGTATTTTTAAAATTTTATTTAGTTCAGCATGAAATACGCAACACTATAAAATTCGGGTAGAAAAAGGCACGACTAGTGAAATTTAGGTTGAAATAGGCATTTTTCCCTGATATTGAGTCTTGAGTACGTTAACCCACCCCCACCCTAACGACGCATTAAACAGTAAGTACATGGACCGTTCATGCTGTGAGATAAATCATTCATGAAAAATAAAGACTTTACAATATTGTTTGACAAAATAATCCACAAGATTGGTCATTATCTCTTATATATTAAAAGATAAATATTGTTGTATAATGTGTTCATATTACGTTGTTATATGTCAGTTTTACAACGATCTAAGAACTAGTACGGTGAATGTCACATACAAAGAGTTTCTCAGCCAGACTCTGCCTAAACGCGTTCACACTATATATTATTTTACGTTTTCAATATAAAACTTACATACACTTTTTACGGGTTATACGGAAATTCTACAATAAAAGACAATTTACAGAAAATTCAGAATTGTCTAGGATTATTTTATTTTTACTTAATTTATTTTAATAGAATATATTATATTTCATGCGTTAATTTGAATATTTGTAATGTTAATTACGCTATCTTTATATATTTATCAACCACCTTTATATTTTTTTTTACATACACATACATGTAAGAGTGGGCACAAATCGGACACTCAAAGTTTATAAGGTATTAGTGATCAATTTTGTTTCATCCGAATAATCAATTATCTGATTTGATTCAATTCGTAGCAGATATATGGTATCCTGAAAAAATTATATTTTAACCGTTTTGATCCGTAAAAAAAATCTAAAATAATTAATTTTCTTACAAAAATAAAAATACATTTAATTTTTGAATAATACCTAATTCAATAAATTTAGTAAATACAAACATTGTAAAACTTATACAGAATATATTATTTATATAACTTATATATACTTCATTAAATATATGTATATATAAGCATATAACGGATCAAATCGAATATCTACTTTTGAAAATATTAGTATTTGTGATTTGCTTTGTTTTTTACGGATCTTGCATATTAGTATTTTTTTTTCTTCGTAGAGTTATGGATATCCCATTTTTTCGAATAAAAAAAGATGATGAATCAAATCAAAATTTACGAATATTTGCCCAATCTTACATATATGTATACATTGACATGAACACCTATATAACTAAATATTCCATACAAGTGAGAATTCTAATTCTCTCGAAAGCTGAAATATTTTTTTTTTTAATATTTACATTCACCATCAACTAAATTGTAATGCAATGATTTTTCTTAATTTATTTTTTCTTTATCTTCAATTACTATCTAGATTTTTTCTTTTGATTTTTCATGTCTTTAGAAATTATATATGAGATCATGACATCAGAACTGTATAAAATTCATATAACACGAAACCAAACAAATAATAATATTTTTTGGTTATCATTGAAAAAATCTAAAAATATCAAACATTTTAACCGAATAAACAAATTAACTATTGATTAAGAATAGTAATTTTATTTAATAGATTAAAAAAAAAATATTCTGAAACTTATGAATAAACAGATATTATATCTTATTATCGTAAAAGTAATAAAATTAATAATTTTATTATATGCAAGATGTGAATTATTACTTAGTTAATTAATTAATTGTGATGAAGAATGTGTTGAGAAAGGTGAATA